AAATGCAATTATATATAGTATAGGCACAGTATGGGGGTACTATGATAGTTGAAGGAAATTTTTTCAACCGTCCAATATCCAATAACAATAATGCAATAGCACTATTTGTGATTTCATTTTTAATTTAACATTAAGATTATTCAATAAACAGTGTTTTTATTATTAAGTAAATAAAAAATATTGACTTTCTTGGGTTTTTCTAGAAAACTGACGTGTTCTTTGTAAAAATATACTGTTTTGTTTTTAATTAAAGTTTTTTAAGTGTGTATAACCTTGAAAATTTCTTGTTTGTATGTTACCACTTGCCTATGATCTCGAGATTTGGCATGTTAGTATATGACATAAATTGGGATTGATTGACGTTATCAGTTTTCGGTCACTTCCTGTTTCACCGGCAATGACTACAACCTTTATTTTTTAAATGACACCCTCGGTACATTTTTACTTTATTCGATAGAAAATGGTACTCTGAAGAGAATGACATATGATATGTCAACTTTTGACATATTCGCTTACAAACAAATCGTACTTTAAATTTCAATCTAGAGTGCCATGGCTGTGTTAAAAATACTAATTCTTAATTAGTATTTTTAAGGAGCCTTGGAAAAATTGATTAGACCGTCTAATATTTTTCGTGTCTTGTCCTGGCCTGTTAAAAGATCGATTTTTAATCATATCTCTTTTAATCAAATCGTATTTTTAATCATATCTCAATTTTTTCAAATAGAAAAAGGATGACTCGTTAGCATATTTGGAAAAAGCATTTTTTTACGAATAATTTGGAACCACACACTTGGTATTTCGAGTCAAATTGTCGTTATAAGGGTGAGCCACTTTTAAGACGCACCCGGTAAAGTTTAGTTTTATGTATGCTAAAATTTGGACACATCTTACAATTTTCTTTCTCATTTTAATGCGATAAAAAGACTGCTAAAAACCGATGTTGCGCCTATGAATTTACTTCCCATTTTTGGTACTGTCAATAAATCAATTAGATTTATATCGACGTTGCGTTGATATTTGAACGAAGTTAATCAACACGAATTCGAAGGTCGCGAATTATTTAAATTTGTTGCGTACCAGAACCGTATTGCACACAGATATTCGTACGTTGTCATTGTGACAGACGGAATACGATCGATGAATTTCAATGGCAGAGATACTAACCGCAATACCAAGCTAATATATGTCTATTAAATTAGATATAAAACACTTTTACTTTGTACAAACAGGAGTAAAATTTGAAACGAACAAGTTACATACAGACAGTGCAAGTTAAATAAAAAAATTATATGTGCACTATGTGCGCCTAATTGTCCATGCGGAAACTATTGCACTGTCTCAAGAGTGACTATTGGTACCATTGAGGGGTGGTGGGTAAATATCCAATAGGTATAATAAAGAAATTCGAATATATACCTGGTATACCGGGTATACTATATATTAATAATTGATATTCGGATTCTAGGAGAAAAATAAATGTGAGTTTTATTAGAGAAGTATATGACGAAAATGTAAGGTTTTTGACATATTTAACATTTTCTAAAAATAAAGAACAATTTCAATAAAAGCTGCCGAAATTGAAATTTACCCGGTATAGCCTAATATGTAGTTAAAATAACAATTGTACTTTAAATCATATTAAAACTTGAGCCAAAAAGTTATACAGGATGAGACAAAATTGATATTGAACATTGGTCACCTTATAATATCGAGCATTGGTCAACAAACAAGTTACTCTTTTATTTTAAATGGAACACCCAGTATATTATTCCGATATTCAATAGGGAATTCCTATCAATTTAAAATAATATTGAGGTTGCCTACCCTTCAAACAAGTATTTTCCTAGAATTTTTATATTTATTTTATATTTATGATTTAGTGTCAGTAGATCTTTATTATTTGATAAAATTTCGGTGGCTGTGATATGTCTGACGTTACTTCAATATGGCTGTCTAATTAGTCCAACTTTAACAACTAGTTATTATGTTATGTCAGTTAAAACAACAACAAAATTTCAGAAATTTGCTGACAATGGAAACTTATCCTACATCAGAGAGAATCATATAGGTCACCAAAAAAATCTTTTGAAAAGAGAATTATTTTATGCAGTGAACAGGAAAAGAAGCATTTTGAGCATTTGATTTCATCTAGCTAATTTTTGTCACATAATTATACGTTTATATCTATTAGTTTTAATTCTGTAATAATTAAAATATGTTTTAAACGTGTATCTTTTTATTACCTTCGAATATTTTACTCTACATTCTTTAATTTTTGTTAAATTAAAAATAGAGGTATATCGCAGCCACCTAGATTTTACTAACGGAAAATCATAAAAATTAAAATATCTAGGAAAATCTTTGCCTGAAGGGTAGGCAACTTGAATAATATTTTAAAGATATGTATATGAATTCCCATTGAACACCCGAATAATATACTGGATGTTCCATTTAAAATAAAAGAGTAAATTGCTTTTAAAGATGACCAATATTCAGGATTAATTTTGTCGCACCCTGTATAACTTTTCGGGGCAAATTTTAATTTGATTTAACAAACAATGGTTATTGTAATTAAACATCAGGCTATACAGGATAAATTAAAATTTAGGTAGGTGTTACTGAAATTTAAAATTTACTCTTCATTTTCAAAAAATGTGAAATATTTATGTTAATATTTACATTTTAGGCATATGCTTCTTTAATAAAATTCACCTTTATTTTTTTCCTAGAATCTAAAAATCAATTAATATATAGGGTTGAAGATACCATTTGAGTGTTCCATTACAAAAAACAAAACTTTGATTTCTTGAGTAAAACCTTCTATACTTTTATAAAATGCTTTCCATTAACATACATATGTTTCCAAAATTTAATTTCGATATAAACTACCGTTGGAGTCCTTGGAGCCTCCGCGTTGTATGGGAGACTATAATATTTTTGATATTTTTAACAACTTATTTAACTGAATTATTCGTGATTGGCGACATTTAACACATTCTTTACGCAAAAAATAAATCGTTGCGTTATATGCAAATAAACAAACAATTAGTAACAAATCTAATTGGTATTCTGCCTCCTGAACGGTAGGGACCTTGCCAGTGTTTGAGGTATTGTGTGATGTTAGTAACCTTGACACAAATGATTAAGAGCAAATGTATAATATAATGAGGAAATACCGCATATTTAAAGGTAATACATTATAGGAACTTGAAAAAAAATGTTTAATTTCAAGTTCAAATCGGTGACACTATTTTGCTACGTAGGATTTTAAACAACTTTACAGCGATTCTTTACTACTACTAAAAATTTAAGTATATATATATATATATATATATATACAGGGTGTTCCATTAAGGGAGGTCACCGGCCATATCTCGGAAACTACTGGGTATAGGAAGTCAGGAAAAAAATTCTTAAGACTAAAATGACCATGAGAAAATCCTGGAAATTATTTTAAGTTCCGCATTTTACCGCAAGAGGCGCAATTGGTAGGGTGAATAATACAATTCAAGTTTTCTCGAAAATTCTCATATTGAGCTATAACTTTAATAACATCGTTAGAAAGCCTGAAAAATTCCGCATAAATTCTCTCTGAGGCTCATTGGCGTACCGACCTTAATAAGGGTGGGGGAAGCTCTTGAACGTCTCAGTATTTAAAACTCTGTATCTTCTAAACGACTTATCCGATTTCAGCAAACTTAGGCTTGTTTGAAAGAGAAATGTACGTTTTCAAATACCCAATCCACTGCTACCAAATAGTTACAAATTAAATTGCTAGAGGGCGCAATTTCCAATAATAACAGTTTTTTTTTGATTTTGTCACGAAAATTTAAATCATACGGTATAATTTTGATGTCATATTCGGAAAGTAGATTAAATTTGCAACAAAAAACGTTTAGACCGCAATTCGATATCTTCATTCGTTTCAGAATTATTGCCGGAAGAATACTTTATAACGCTTTAATTTAAAAAAAAATGCTTGTTTTCATAGTTTCGTGGTAGGTAAAGCATTTCATGAAATTTTTTGTCTAATTTTATGGTTGTTGAGGTTTTTATAAAAAAAAAAAAAAAAAAAAATTATAATAGTCTTTCTATTGGTTCCTTAAAACTTTAATACTGGTATTATTGTTGTTTTGTTTGTGGCCCGTTGGCCTTTAAGCACGCTCCAAATTTTGCCTTTTACATGATTTGGACTAGTCCTAAGCCTAGGTAAAGTGCGAAGGGAGGCACGGAATATGACAAATGAAAACTAATTGTTATCAATTCAAAGTTTAACCTTACGAAACTATGAAAACAACCATTTCTTAAATTAAAGCGTTATAAAGTATTCTTCCGGCAATAATTCTGAAACGAATGAAGATATCGAATTGCGGTCTAAACGTTTTTTGTTGCAAATTTAATCTACTTTCCGAATATGACATCAAAATTATACCGTATGATTTAAATTTTCGTGACAAAATCAAAAAAAAACTGTTATTATTGGAAATTGCGCCCTCTAGCAATTTAATTTGTAACTATTTGGTAGCAGTGGATTGGGTATTTGAAAACGTACATTTCTCTTTCAAACAAGCCTAAGTTTGCTGAAATCGGATAAGTCGTTTAGAAGATACAGAGTTTTAAATACTGAGACGTTCAAGAGCTTCCCCCACCCTTATTAAGGTCGGTACGCCAATGAGCCTCAGAGAGAATTTATGCGGAATTTTTCAGGCTTTCTAACGATGTTATTAAAGTTATAGCTCAATATGAGAATTTTCAAGAAAACTTGAATTTTGTTATTCACCCTACCAATTGGAACTTAAAAATAATTTCCAGGATTTTCTCATGGTCATTTTAGTCTTAAGATTTTTTTTCCTGGCTTCCTATACCCAGTAGTTTCGAGATATGGCCAGTGACCTCCCTTAATGGAACACCCTGTATATATATATATATATATATATATATATATATATATATATATATATATATATATATATATATATATATATATAAGTCCGGTTCTACATCGTGATCCGCCTTCCGGTTCCTTGCCGCCATTGCCTTCTGTCCATCCAGTCATCGGCTTGTAAATTGCGCAATGACATTGCCTTTGTTACCCCTTTAACCATGTCTCTCGGGGTCTTCCTCGTTTTCTTTTTCCAGTTGGGATCCATTTCATTATATTCTTTGGTAGCCTTTCTTCTCCCATTCTGTTACATGCCCATACCAGATTAATTGTTTTTTTTTGGATTTCTTCTATGATGGTTATCTCTTTCTTCGTTATTCTTCTTATTTCTTCATTTCGCACTTTTTCCAATTTTGATTTTCTTGCCGATCTTCTGAGGAAGTCCATTTCAGTTGCTAAAAGATTTCCTTCCATGGACTTGCTCATCTGCCATACTTCAGCGCCATAAGTAAGTGTGCCCTTAACTATAGTGTCATATATGCGGGTTTTTGTTGTGGTATTTATATTTTTTTGCCAAAGAATAGAATTTAGTGCCCCTGTAATGTTTCTGGCTTTGTTGATTCTATTATTGATGGTATTGTCGCTTTTTCCATTATTATGTATGTTAGTATCTAGGTATGTGAATTCTGTACATGATTTTATTTTATTTCCGTTTTTCATTTCTAGGTCTTGTCCTTTGTTGCCTACGGATTCTGTCTTTTTAAAATTTATTTGTAAACCCCATCTATCATACTCCTCATTTAATTTTCTAAACATGTACTCAATGTCATCTACATCTCGGGTCAGCATTACTTGATCGTCGGCGTAGTGAATGGTATATATTGTTTTATTTTCGAGTGGTATGCCCATTCCACTACATTTTCGTCTCCATTGTTCCAATGCTGCATCTAAGTAAATATTGAATAAAATTGGGGATAGACCACATCCTTGTCGAAGGCCCTTACTTATATTAAATGATGTTGTGAGTTCGGCTCCAATTTTAATTCGAGCTATCGGGTTCTTGTAGATTTTCTTTATTGCTTTAGGATAATATTTATTGGTGACCGGTCGAGTACGTGAAAAAGTTGTTTTATTGGGATAGAATCATACGCTTTGGTTAGGTGTACAAAAATCATGTGTATCTCTCCACCTATAGCTAACACTTTCTCACTCAGTTGTGTTATGCAGAAAATATTATCTACCGTTGAGCGACCGGCTCTGAAACCCGACTGCTCTTCTGTCTGGTACAAATCATAGTCATTTGTTATTAATGTGCTAAATATTTTGCCATAGAGTCTATACAATGAACAGTTAACAGAAATACCTCTATAATTCTCACATATGTTAATTGCGCCTTTTTTATGTATTGGAGTTATCCATCCTTCGTTCCATTCCTGTGGTATTTGTTGACCATATAAATTTAAGTAACAAACAAAAGATATACATTATAAAAGGTGTTGTCTTCCATAGCGTCTTCTCCAGCTATCTAAAGTTGACATTGGGTGTCAAAATAAATCTTATACGAGGTGTGTCTCACTGTTGGAATTACATGTACTGTAATTCCAACACAGCAATGACGCTCCAGTTAACGTGATGAGGAGTCACATTAAAATTCCTCCTTAATATTCTTCCAAATCAGATGGCCATTGTCTTTTAAGTCTTCTTGTAGGTACTGGTTCAAGTAGAGGCTGAATTAATGTATTAGTGCGATCATGTAGTCTATTAAAATGTTTTTTTGCTCCGAGTTTGGATGACTTCTTTGACGTTCGGAATTTTTAAGTCTTTATGTAGAATATGACTGGAGACATACCACGGTGCGGCTATCATCATCCGTAGAATTTTGGATTGACTCCTTTGTATTAAGACTATATTTGATTTACTAGCGCATCCCCAGAGTCCTGCTCCATACGGCTCCATATGTCCAAATAGGTATTATTATGGTTTTGTATAAAAGAACTTTATTCTCTAGCGATAGTTTGATCTTCTTCCTATTAACCAATATAAGTCTTTTATTTTTAAATCTTTTTTATGTTTCTTTACTATATGTTTTCTTTCCAGGTAAGCTTACTATCCAAGTGCATAACTAAAAGCGGGTTCTCATTAGTCGATTTTATTGATCAATATCATTGAATCTATACCATTGAACATAGAAATAAATGGAAAATTCGTTCGCATGATTCAAGAATATTGTAACGTTTTTAGTTCGTTACATGTCTTTTTTATATATAATATATGATGTCTGGCCTATCATCACCGGATTCCCTCTCGTTCAGGCCGGATAGTTTATTTGACGCGTAATTTTTACGTTCTCTAGTCGGCAACCCTGCTATCGTTTCACTGTTCTGTGGAGGCGCTGTCAACATCGCTTCTGTCAACTCTCTCACTTTTGCTTTTACCGCTCTGTAGCCTAACCTAACCATCCCGGCTTTTAGAAATGGTGATTATTTAAATCTTGCTGTATAATTTGAATCAGCTGCTATTTCAAAGCAACAGGTAAAGATGAGATATTATCCTTTTAGATTCGATATTATTACTGCGTATTTTTAGGGTAGAGTTTTGGATGTCCCAACCTAACTTGTATTTGTATTTTGCTGGCACGTTGGCGTCCCTTTTCTTTTGTCCTCCAGAATGTCTTGTGTAGAATGTCTTGTCTCCTTGTACCATTATCTTATGGACGGATGTCCCGTGGACGAGTGTCCCCAGTAGGAGTGATTTATCTTACATATAAAGTGCCCCAGCGTGGATGTAACTTGAGCCTCATGCTGCTTCGTTCCCATCTACATATAAGCCAGTTAGTAGTTACGGCTGTATCAATTCATGGTGTCCTCATTCTGGCCCCTTTTGTTGTATTGGATGGCCGAGTACAGAGATATGAGCCTACCTCACGCTGCTACTCTTTGAAACAGGATTGCCTCAAGAACAGCTAAGTGTAGATTTAGGTTCTGGTTTTCAGTTCATTTTCAGTCTTAACTTAATAACGTACATTTTAAATAATGTCGTACAGACTATATTTAGTGGTTAGATTATTAAGAACATTTATGTCGATTTAGTAGTTACAATATGATTTAGATCTTAGGTTTCATTACATTACGCCTTGTAATAGTATTTAACCACTATAATAATTATTAAAATTGTACAATGCTATTTACCATCAGGATACATCATGAATGAATATAGTCACTAGTTTTAAGTAATAAACAACTGTGTTTTCTTTCTCTGTACATGCCTGGCGCCCAATATTTATATTTTCGAGTTATTATTGTTAATTAGTTCTTTCCAGTGAAAGACCTTATCCACGACTGCTCTCCGATGAAAAGCTGCCGTTCGCAGTGGTAATGTTTTATAAAAAACGCTACAATATTAAACATTCAATCTAGTTTTAAAAATGGTTGTCAAGAAGAAAATTGTGCGTCCTGGCGTTCGTATGATGTGTGAACATTTAATAAACACAATCAAAAACAGGAAACAAAGAAAACCTCGTGGTTAGTGGGTGAAGCCATGGATTTTAAAACGGAAAAATAAAGGCGCTTCAGTAAAACTGTTAGTGGAATTGGCAAGAGGTGCCTCAGATGCCTATAAGAACCATTTAACAATGAGTGAAGAGCATTTTGACTCCAGAAATTTTGCAACATGGAAATCCCTCTATTTAAACGACATTTTGATTTACTTATTTCAACAGAAACACACACCGAAAAACACTTCGATGCGACTGAACGCTTGTTCCAGCTTGTTCTCACGGGCAAGCACTATTCAATTTCATTGAATCAATACAAAAATAGAATTGGTTTCCAGTTTTCTAGAAATGCGAAAACATTGAACAATATGGTTGAAATAATATTCACATTAATCTGTTTTATTTCGATGGCACAGATTCAATGATATTGATCAATAAAATCGACTAATGAGAACCCGTCTTAAGTACTTGGTGGGGGGATACTGCGGAATTAGTGTATTGTTTAAGTATACTGGAGGGCACTGATCTCTATTTAAAGTAAAGGTTACTTGGGGCAGTACATTACATTTTTACATTTTTACAGTATTTTTCTTTTATTAGCTCTATTTGTCAATTAAATTAATTAATCTAGCGTCTAATTAGACAAGGTTGAGTCATGAAACAATACTGTCTGTATTAAACATTTAGAAAAAATGAAAAAAAAACATACAAGCGTCTATTGTATCATAGCCTTCACACTCATAAAGTGATTTTCCGCCTAAGGTAAATTTAAGTAATTAAGTATATACAGAGTGTCTCTTTAATAAGTGCCATTATTTTAAGTGGTCTTTATTTAATCTAGTCAAAAAGGACATGGTAAGTTATATTCTTCTACAGTACTAGGTGTATTGTGTTCTCAACTGTACTGTTAAATAGGTGATCTATTTGTATATTTAAAGAAAAAAAAAAGATTAAATTCTTTAGTAGCCAGTTTATATACCATAAAACTGACAATTAAACTTTACTATCGGAAATGATTGATCTTGGCAGTAAAAACGAAATAATCACACGACAGACTATTATTAACAGTGATCTCCTCTAAATTCTGTAACAGCAGAACTTTACTTCATCATAAAATGTAAAGAAATATAAACAACAACCTTTAGTATACAGGCCCGGCAATGGATCTCTAGGCATAGGAATTACATGCATTGGAATGAAACGCCTATAAAAAGTCTATGCTTAAACAGAGATGGACAACAACTTCCCCGTTTCCACTTCCACTACGACTGTCTACTTAGACAAACTCCAATAAGATAACAAATTTTGGAAATTCCGCCACCTCCCATCCACTCATGATACCCATCTCCCTGCCCTTTATTTATCGCCATCATTTTATTTCCGTTCCCGCGCCTCCGCACCTCGCTATTCCGACTCCCGTCAGTTCATCACAGAGTTGCCAGGTCTACCAGTTTCGTCTGTAAGCTACCGATCTACCGATTTAAAGAAAAATCTAACGATATATTCAACTGCGTCTTTAGTTTTTACAGTAGAAGCACTTTTAAAAAGCTGACTTATTTGACTAAAAATTAAGCGACTGCCGCGTTGGAATCTGTATAATCTGACTTTATTATTGTTTCATTAAATTTTATTTAGTAATAACACACATACAGGTCATCGTTCTGTCTAGTTGCAGAGTTACAGAGATATTCCTAAAATCCTTATTACTCCTTATTAGGCGCGGTATTGGCGACATGCCCGAAGAAGTTGATATCTTTTGAAAAGATTTTATTTCATTCATCTACTAAAGTTGAACCCATATTTTCCCCAAA